ATCATCTGCCAGAGGGCAGTCTTAAAGGGAGACGTTTTAGCTTAAGTGTCTGTTTTCCACTTGTTTGCAGATGTGTCTAGTAGTTCCCATTGATTTAGCTTGGAAAGCGGGGAGAATGGCGCTAGGCTTACCGCACCGTGACGTCACTGCTGGAAGATGGCAGGAGGGAGGGGCTACTAGATTTGGGAAAAAATGGCCGCTCCCAGACTCAGTGATTATGACAAAAAAATATATTGTTTTATTTTTTTACTTATTAACACTAAATTCATTAAATCACCGCAAACATATTAGTTTTAGGTAAATAATGATCCATTGATTATTCCTTGCTGGCTGGACTTTTCCTTTAAACATTAATGACAACTCTTTTATTTGGATAAGGAGGAGAATAAAATGCTAAATGATCTTCCTGATCTCAGTGTCTTTTCGTGAATTTCCTGCAGAGGTGATGGCTGCCATCTCCTCCATCGCAGAACAGACCGATTCATATCATCAATCAAAAAGGAAATGGGTTCATTTTCTTTAATAAATGATCATAATCATTTTAATAAGTGACAGAAACACTTCATCTCCTTTCGTGCATCTCCTTGGCCAACACAGGATTGATCATTTAATCCTAATTCAATCCAGTTCATTAGTATCTGTTTCATTGTTTGAATCTAGTGAAGGAACAATGATGGTTCCTCATTTAAGTCGCTTTCTTTTAATTTTAAATCTGTGTCATCATCCACCAGTGTTTCTGTTTTGGTTTTCTCTTTATTTTTTTGTTTATTATAGCCGTCATGGTTTTTTTTTTATCTCTTTCTCTGGTTCTTCCTTTTTTTGCTGTTGTTCCTTTTCTCTATATATGCTCCTAGAAGACCGTTTATGCTAAATCATCTTAGCTGCTCGATTACTGATCACTTCCTGCTCTAGCTTTATAAAAACCAACCCTGTCTGTTGTGACACTGAAAAGTCTTCTTATTTCTTGGTTAAAATCAGTTTGATTTCCATCCAACAGTACAATTCAGACCCTTGACAGCTAACCCTATATATCCTCATTACACAAAGGCAGCTCCGTTCATCTAAAGGTTACTTTTGTGAGGGACATTAAGATATAGAAAGCTGGGACCCTTTTCCACCTGGATCCCCACACTTTTTCGCCATAATTTCTACATTAACTGCAACACACGCAGACGACCTGGTTTCTGAACATATATCAGGCGTCAGTAATACGCATTACATAGCGTGTCCTCTGTCTCCGCTCTCCTTACAACCAATCGAGCTCTTTTATTTCCCGATTTTGTCCGATTTTTGTCGTTGTTTTGCGCATAAAACTACAAAAAAAGTCCTCCAATATGTCCACTACACACATCACCTTTAAAAAAAAAATCATTGCATGTCCGTTTGACGAGGATCTTATTT